ATTTATGACAGTATTCAACTTAATATTTACTCTAATTAAATGATATGATAATTTATAAGTTCTGAGTTAATATATCGCCTGAAGAGGCAAATTTTAAAATTCCGCCATTTACAACCCTTGTCACCATAGTAAAAAAATTGATTATACTAAAAATAACTCCATTAAAATTATTTAATTAATTAAACCGAAGTACTGAGTTTACACATTTAAATACTAGTTTATTATTCAATATTTGAATTTCATAACTTTTTTTAGTTTTCTGTTCAGTGAACTCTTTAATAATATCATTCCAATCTATACTTTGTAGCACATTGTTCTCAGTGTTATCATTTACGAGTTTTAATTTATACAATTTTGTTATTTTGTTTTAGTTATAAATGTATTATCATTTTGTATTAGTTTTTACCTTTTTAAATAAAATTTGAATTTTGGTGTCAGAAATAATTAGTAAATTTTCTTTATATTTTTATCTCAGCTCTTTTACAAAACTCAACACCACTTAACTTTATATGCTTTTCACTCATATTGATTAAAAATAAAATATTAAGCCCATTTAATTTTTAGTCAATTGGACTTAATGAAACTAATGCTACAAGAAATGATACTAATAAAAACCATAACTCAGTAGTGTACAATTAAATCATTTAAAACTAAATTAATTAAATCTAATGATTTAATGATTATATTACATTCATACAGGGAATACAAAAAATATGATCATGTATTGGTGTGTGTACAACTATAACATATTGTATACAATTTATACTTAAAAATAATATTAAAGAAAATTAGAAATGTGTCAGTCCAAGCACTATATTATGATCTTTCCACGCTGAATACTCATTTACTTAATAACTCTGCAGTAGGCAATATAATAAAATATAGTATTAATATTATTAATTGTTATGAAAAATTTTCAATATTTTATAATCCTTCCTAAAAGTTGTAATATATTAGAAAACTTCATAACTTTTATTTTCACCATCAAAAATTTACAGCCTTGGATAACTGTTACCCACCTCTGCTTAATCCAACACTTCAATTATTTATACGTCACAGTTCTTATAATTATGATTACAATTTAATTTTTAATAAATAGGATGATTAATGTGTCATTACTTAATAATAATAAATAAAATTATAGAATTAAATGCTGATAAGTGAGAGAAAAAATAATATATCTAAAAGATCTTTTATATTTTTAAAAATCCTAATAACCAAATACCTAATTTTTAACAGACTTTTTATAAACTTGCTTATTGATTAACTCAATTATTATTATTTTATTTTAGAAGAACTTTCTTTATCTGGTCATGAAAAACATCACAAATCATGGAAAGATGATTTTGAAAAAGTTGTAAAACAATTTATTCTACCAGAAGTACCATGTTATGTATTATATAGGTATATTTAAATTATTTAAAATGTGTTATCCTGAAGTAATATGAACTAGACAGCTTATACACTTATTAATTTACTTAGATTTGATATAAAAAGTGATACCAAAAATTATGATTGGTTACTTATAAGTTGGTGTCCTGATATAGCACCTATTCGACAAAAGATGTTGTATGCATCTACAAAAGCTACACTCAAACAAGAATTTGGCAGTGCTAAAATTAAAGAAGAACTTCATGGAACTAGCTTGGTAAAGTTAATTATATATAATATACATTAGTGATGTCTCTAATTTTTGATCTGAACCATTGGTTTACTCTAAAATATTTGTTTTGAAAATTAAACTATTGTGAAATATTTATATTATATACTAGATAGCAAAATAATTTAATATAAAAGTTTTTTTAAGTTTACGTTTGTCTTATAGATTGATGTTACTCTTAGTGGATTAGAGCAAAGTCGATTGTCACAAAAAGCACCAGCACCTTTGACTATCCGTGAAGAAGAAATCGCTGAACTTCGAAAAGCGGAAGTTGGACATAGTACATCTGTATCCGTAGATAGTCGATCACAGGCAGTATCTGGTATTAAGTTCCCTATGTCTGTTGCTGCTGTAACAGCACTTTCTATATTTGTGGATAGTAGTGAAATAAACTATGTACAGTTTTACATTGGTATATTCAAAAGTTTTTACTTTTAAAATTTTCTCTATGAAATTGTTTTCAATGTTTTTGTTTGTATTAGATATGACTAAAGAGAGTATTGAATTAGCTACTTCAGACAATGTATCTGTGAGCCTTCTCAATGATCAAGTTCCTAAAAATGATGCTAGGTATCATCTTTATATGTACCAACATAAAAGAAATGGTATTCAAACAAATTCTGTTTGTAAGTAAATATTACATTAAAATTTATTTTATTATGTACTTATAAATTGCTATAATCAATTAATGCCATATTATATCAGCAGGCCCAGTGTGGTTAGGATGCCAATATGCTACAGTATCCTTTGCCTTTAAATATAGTTGCTTCTATCAGTTTAAATGTGCTTTAATTACTCTATTTAAAACAAATGTGAATTTTTTAGGCAAAAATTATAATTATCTGATAACGTTTTTGGTAAATTTATTATTTATAAAAAATAAATTTTAATTATCTAGTGAAAAAATAGGTTAATCAGTTTGAGCGGCTTTTTTTTTTAAATTTGCTTCAGTGGTGTATGCAGAATTGTTTAATGTCGGGAAGGTTAACCCTTGATTAATTAATTTATCATTAACATAATATTTATGTCATCATTAATTCTAAGATCCAAACAAATAATTTTATAAACTGCACCAAAATCATTTATCACTGTAATTGAAGAATTTAACAATGATTTAGCTACGTCCTGTATAATATATGCTAAAATAAAAACTAATCTTTTTTGTTTAACTGAAATTTACATTATTCATGGCATAACAAAATTAACGCAACAATCACTAAAAGAATGTCCCAAATCCAAATCTACAGATTTTTATATGAAAAAAAAAATCGAAACAAATTGATTTAATGACATCAAATAACTATATTATAATAATCAATGATAGGGATTTACCCTTATTTTTTAAATAATTATAATTAATTAATGTAGAAATCATTTTAAATTAATTTTAATACCATTTAAGTTTACAGTGATTTGTTCTATTTTTTTTTTTTTTTTTTTTTTGCTATTATCAAAACTAGACTAAGGAGTATGCTTTTTGAAGAATTATTAAATTTTTTAATGTTAATAAATACTGAACATAATTTTATTTCTATATTACTAATTATATAATAAAAATATCTAAAAGTTCAAACTTTTTTGGTAAAATGTTATAAATTTGGTAGATAGCCATGCATTAATTGTTCCTTAATACATTTTAGTAGCATTATCTTATATAAACGGTAAACATAATCAGTACGTCATGTATAAGTATATTACACAATACATTTTTTGTTTAAATTCAGTAGCTTTCAAAGTTAAATTTTAAAGATTAAGTTTGTCTTGGTGAATGAATTAGTTTACTAATATTATAGTTATTGACTATTGTACTAGAGGTGAACATAAAAATGTATTACTAAAATATGTGTATTTTACTTAGGTAGAATGTATTTCTATGCATTTTTATTTAGTAATATATCCACTATATTGTAATCGGTTATTAAGATTTATAAGATTTTTATAGTAATTAAATATACTACCTAAAAAAAAAAAAAAAATCCATCAATTTTGCTTGAATGTTTGTTGTGACTTGGTACTTATTTATGTTTGTTAAAGTATTTAAAATATTGTAATATTTTACAAATAAATAATCTGCATATTTTAAATTTACCCTTTAAATTATGTAGCATCCTGTGCCCTTTTTTACCAATCTGTGCCGAGTATCAGTACTATAATATGTATAATAAAGAAGTTAATTCATAAATTATAATGACTTGGTGGTGGTTAGTTTAAGACCCCCTGTTTTACTCTTGCATATGGGCTTCCAAACAATTAGTTTTAACACTGCTTAAAGTTTTACTAATTTGTAACTTTATAACAAAATTAAATGTAGTAATTTCCCTAAGACCACAATAATCATGCTCTTGATAGGAATAAATACTTTATAAGTTGTAACACACACACTTACTTATTTTTTAATCTTCTATTAAAACACAAATGATATCTTAAATCACAAATCAATTACCTTTGGTAAATGGCTTCTTCAAGTCAGATAATTATACCATAAACCTTAATTTATTTATTACATAGATTTAAAAAAAAAATTAATATATTTATAAGAATTTTTTTACTTTAAAAGTATACCAATTTAAAATATATAAATCAAAATGTTTACACATAATGCTAGAATATTTAATTTATCAGTGAGCAAAGTCTTAAAAGTTAAAATCAACTAATTTATAAATTTTTATTTTTTAATAACTATACAAATTAAATATTTTGAAAAGCTTCTACTATACATATTGTGAAAATAAGTAAAATATTAACAAAATAAAATATATTAAATAGATTACAAAAATCTTATGAATATTATGCTTTAATAATATTTTTCATTTTTAGTTTTCATTTACTCAATGCCAGGATACTCGTGTCCTATAAAAGTGAGAATGTTGTACTCCAGTTGCAAATCACCGTTTATCGAAGAATTAGAAAACTTATATAAATTAAAAATTCATAAAAAAGTAAAGATATAATTTTATAATAAATAGAATTAATTAATTTTAAAAAATTACTTTTTATTTATAGTTGGAAATAGATAATGATGATGTCATCAACGAGAAATATCTATTAGATGAACTATACCCAGAAAAAGAATCAGATAAGCCAAAATTCAGTAAACCCAAAGCTCCAGGACGAGGTGTTCGAAGAATAATAAAATCTAACGAATAAGTATTCATTTTATTAAACTTTTAATCTATCTAATTAATGTTAGAATATGTAATTTTGTACAACTTATTGTTTTTTTTCTTTATAAATGTCTATGTTTCGTCTTCCATTTTATTTTATTAAATTGTATTATCTATTTATTTATTTTTAAAGAGTGTTATTGAATATTAATTTTAAAAGTGTATTGATTGTTTTATTATTTATAAATTTTTAATTAATACATTTCTTATTTTTTTTGTTCTTCTCCAATGATTTTTTTACAATATTCTTCATCTGCTATTAGTTGATTGTTGGAATGACTAATAGATGCTAATCTTGTTCTTTCCTGAAACATTTAATTAAATACATTATAAAAAAAGTAATTAACTTTTGAGTTATCTTAAGAAGTATTTTCTATGATGATCACGCACTTCTAATAAATAATTACACTCATAATACTGTAGTTGTTTATTAAATCCCTCGTTGGGACTTGAAATTGATCGACATGCTTTCAGGAGTCGAAGAACATGTTTTAATTTAATAGTAGTGGCTGACATAATATAAGCAGCAGCTATTGTTACACTTCTAGACATCCCAGCCAAACTGAAACATATAATGTAATCACATTTTGATCTAATAATTCATAAAAAAAAAAAATTAAACATCAGCATTATCTACCAATGAATTAAAACATTTTGATTTTTAAGACGAGCTTTATGTATAAAATCATTGCATGTTTGAAAATATTGTATAAGATTTTGTTCGGGACTATCAATAGCTTCAATACACAAATATTTTTTATTCTGAAATAAGTTAAAATTGAAATAAATCTTTGTTATGCATTTTCATAATTCAAAAATACCCACTTGATAAATTTTCTTTGGTGCATCCAATATAGAAATTATATGAGTTATTTGATTACTTTCTAATTGAGCAAAATCTTTTGAGTCTCTAAAACTGCCGATAAACAAACCGGGGATCACCTAAAATTATTAAAAAATATTTATGTAAATATGTATATATTGAATATATTATTACCAACCTATATTTTTTAAAGTTTAAAATAGTTAAAATTCTAAACAATATTTCAAATTGAGACTTGAAGGCTGAAGCACGGTCTAAATATTTAAAAATTTAATTCTTGAGAAAAAATAGGCTTTTTGAATTCAAAAAAAATTAAACATACCTAATAACATTTTTATAATAATAATATAATCTATTAAACATGAACAATTATGTTTAGTAATTTTAGTTTGGAAAACTAATTTATTAATTTAATTTAATTTTTTTCTATCTCAATCAAAATGTAGCTTTATTTAGTGAAATATTAATTTATATCACTATTACAAATCAATGTAATAAAGCTAAATGAGATAATCAAAAAAATTTGAGTGATCTTGTATTGTGTTCTATGACCTAATATTTTGACTTATTGTACATTGACTATTTTTTTTAAACATTACCTTAGTTATGCAATATTTAGTATATTTATACTGACTATGCCTTAGGTAATTACCTATAATTAGGTATAGTATCATATAAGACATAAGTATGTTAAATTGCTTACAATTATAAAAAGTTGTTATTTTTATAAAGTATATTTTTTGTTATTTGTAATAACATTTATTGGTACCTATGGCAAAACAAAAATCTAATGTTTAACAAAAGTTATTGTTTTTTAAACTGTAAAACTTGTGTAATGTAGGTACTAATGTGATAAATAAATAACGGGGTAACCTAATGAAAAAATAATATGTACTTATTCGATAGTCAACTCAATAAAAAATTTAGATCCTATAAAGAGGAAATTCAACTGGCTATTTGCTCCTATAACGATATATCAAGTACCTACGTATTATAGGGAGCAACAAAACGATCTTCTACTAGTCCTACTCTCTAAATCTAAATTGTATGTAATATTATACCGTATGAAAAGTATAATTTATTCATTTTCATTTTCTATGGTTTAAATATACTAAAAAAAATTTTAACTTTGACTTTGACAATCTTTATACAGTCTAGAAAAATCAAGTCCCCGCCCTAAAAATAAACAAACCACAGTACACGCCCTCATTATATATTAGATTAGTCATCACTTGTCAGTGTATTTATATAATAGTGATAAGTATTACAGAAATATTAGAAAGTCTAGTGTAGTTAAAATTGTTAAAAAGAGTTTAAATTAAATCAATACTATCGATTAAATTAAATAAATAAAAAATATATGGAATATTAATTTAAGTATAATAGTAAAATTGGGAAATATTCTATACAAAAAAATATATAACTGATACTTTTACCAGCTTTTCCAGTTAGGCCAAATACCTTTATTAGTAATAACCTATTTCTAAGTACAACTTCTTAAATCGTCACCTTCTACACAGCTAGCTATATACTAACTGTCACTATAGTCTATAACTAAACTACACGATAATCGTACCCTCGCCCTTCACTCATGACCGGAAACCATTAACGATAAGAAAAAAACACTGCATTGGTATTGGTTTTCAATAAATATTTTAATGCGTTGAACGCTGAATAACATTGATCGTTCCGAAAGACAACACCGGAAACGATTTAGATCTAGTAGGGTCCAGTGACATACCCAGAATTTTTCAATAGTGAGAACTAAACATAAATGGAAATTATGTACTTACTGTAACAAATTGTTTTTCGTAATAAATGATTTTATAATAAATATTATAAGATAGGTTAATGGTATTTGATATAAGTAGGTATAGCTTACTAGCTGGAGTTTTATATTAGATATATTATGATGATAAATAATAAACTTATTACAATAAATTGTATTAAATTTTTTATTTTTTATAAAATAACAATATGAGTGTTTAATTTTATATGATAGATAAGTTACATTCGTCTATAGAATATTTTCTTCAAAAACTTATTTTACGAAATTATTATTTTTCTTCAAACAATTTTTTTTTTTTTTTTTTTGTAATTCAAAAACAAATTTTTGTAGATATTTGAAATTTTTACCAAATGTTTATACTATCATTTCCACGATAATCATTATAATAACATATGATAACATTTTCAAAAATGTTAATTTTTTTAATTATTTAATAATTTGATACATTTTCAATTTTTTTAAATTGTATTGTTTTTCTATAAACAACAATAGGTAATCGTTTGTTGGTTCAAAATTCTTGAAAATGTTATACAAAATCCCACAAAAGTTGTTCTTATATCTATATAAATCACAAAAAATTGCTAATTTTGTTGTTAAACAATTTTTCATTTTGTATCTAAATTTTGAAAATTTAATACAAAATATATCACATGTAGTTCATACTAAATTACTTTATATATTCTAAAGAGTATATAAAAACAATAATTTTTTTTAGACATTTTAAGTTAAAATTTGGACGAAATTATTTATTTAAAAGTAAATAACGATGTTATTAATTGTTATAATTTAAAAATTCGCGGGAACTAAAAACTTTTACGTATATTATATTATTATGAATTTTACAACATACAATATCATATTTGATTTTTTTTTTAAATACCTATTATTTTTTTTATACTATGCATCTATTTTTACTCATTTAAAGTATTTATAGAAAGATTTTATTAAATTTTGAGTAATAGAAGTTGATATAGTATGAAATATGAATATATTATTATTATAATAATTAAATACTAATAATATAATAAACGCAATATTTAAAAAAAAAACATATCAACCTTAAATTTTCTAAAATATTAGAAGTAATATAAATAGCTTTACAATAATTATATATATATAAAAAAAAAAAACATATTATCATAAAATACTTGGTGATGTATGTGATGTATGCTGATAAACCTTAAATTATTTTAGGATACATAAACAAATTATAAATAATCCTAGACTCTATAAAGTTTATTATATTAACATCAAGATTCAAGGACGCCATTTAGGAGGATGCAGGCAGTGACGTAGCATGAAACTTGGACAACTTGGTGGCCCTAAGTACTCTTTAAAAATAGAAATTAAATTATTAAGATAATATCAACTATTTCTTTCTGACCCAAGATAAATTATAACTGCTAAATAAAATGTTACAATTAAAAAAATACTCATAACTCGTATAAAAATTGAAATGTTCGAAAAAAAGTCAAAATAAAAACATATTATATGTTTTTAAATTATAATTTTTTAATAGTTCAATTATTTTAATATACTAAGCATCTAAAGTTAACCAACACTAGATTGGTTTTATTCGTACATTTTCTATCTTGCTCATGGGCTAGGTATTGAGATAAAAAGAGAAATAATAATAATATTATGTCTTCTAAAAAATAGTGTAATTACTAATTAGCTTAAATTTTGGCTTCCCTATTAAAAAAAACATAATTGGCGCTATCGATTAACACATTAAAAACCTTTATCGTTTCATTTTTATAATTTATGGTCTGTGTAAAGAACTTTATACAGAGAAAACTACAGTTCAGTTTAACTTTTCATTTTATACTTATTTGAATATTTTTATGTAACAGTTATCTAATATATGTTGCACACGTCATTTACATGAATCGATAGAATTGATTTCAGTGGAAATATTGATTCAAATAAACGTCAGTTAAAAACAAGTAATCATTAAATCAAATATCTGCTTTTATCAATCATTATCCTATTCAAATAATATTTCAGGTTTTAAATTTTCAAATAAACGTATATTCATATTGTATACATATATTAATATATAGGTACGTGTATGTATAATATTAGTTATATACATTTATAATTGAAGTTTTGTGTGTTATAGATTTATAAAAATAATATTACCAATATTTGAAGTACCTACATAAATGACAGTTTATAACATGTGGCATTTGTTGTATGTAAATCACATGTAGGTAATATGATAAATTATTTAATCTAATGTACAAATCAAATAATATGGACAAACCTATAAAATTATTGTACAAAAAAAACTTTGATAATAGCAAAATCAAAAATTTTAAAATGGTATATATCAAGGGTGTCCAATTTATTTTGGAGGCGGGCTATAACTTTAGTTACATTTAGCTGGCGGGCCATGTTACAAACAAGACTTGCTTACACTTATAATAATTCATTTATATTTCTATATTCTATAGTTCTATTTCTATATACTATATATAGTATACATCACTAGATGTTACCGGTTATGGTAATATCCATTATTTGCAGAACATAAGAAAAATTAAAATAAAAATAATTATCTTTTTATAAGATATAAATAAAAACAAAGCTACAGATATATTATACTAAATAAACCGAATTAAAAAAAAATGTAATACTACAGGTCGTCGTCATTGATTGAGAAATCTGTAATTTTTCTAAAAAAAAACTTTTTTTGTTTAATTTTTGCAACAATTCCGTTATTAGGTATACTTATACTATGCGGTGTGTACCAATTTTGTTTTATTTAATCATTAATAGTTAATATAATATTGCATGTATATCATTTTGTATAATATATACATTAAGACTTATTAATACATAATACTGTGCTTAGTATATAAATACCTACAGTCCTAGGCCCTAGCGGCCTAGCATAATTACATAGAGAAACACACATACCTTTATTCACTCTTGTACATAGATAATGTTTTTTTTTTGTTATGCTATTTAGATACGTGAAATAACTGAAACATTTTGAATTTAAATTTGGTAGTAAAATTAAATAAATACACAAAATGAAACTTTTTTAAATTTATTCATATAGTTAATCATATGTATTTATATAAACATAATGTGAAATGCAAGAATATTTTGATAAATTTAATTAAATAAAGTTATAAATAAATGTAGATTGACGATAAATGTTATACAGATACTCTTATTATATAATATTAATATAAATACTAATATATAATACGAATTATGAGTATGAATACCTATAAGGCTATAATATTATAAATTATAATACATCATAATTTTTAGCGTATTCAAAAAGTTAACTTTATATAACTACATAAATACTAAATA